CGAGTGGGACTGGTTCCAACGCGAAGAGCTCATCGGGCAGATCAGCGACATCCGAGTCCAGAACCTGCAAGGTAACGCAGCCCAACCTCGCCCCGAGGGACGCCGGACCCGGCGCTCGCGGAGCCCGGGGCGCCGCTGCCACACTTGGCAACTCGGACCACGCCGCCGGTGCCCCGACCGGACCTCTCTTCTGTCACTTGACTCGGGGTTGGGGTTCAGATACCCGCCCCCAAGTCTCAGCGTGGCCAGATGTACAGTTTCCCGGGGGTGGGGCGGCACACGCGTGTGTGTGTGCGCGTGTGTTAGGAGGGTGCTCGTTTTCCATAAGGGGACGTCACCAATCCCTTTCAGCCACCGTCGAGAGTTTGGAGAAGTTTGTACGTGGGCTCTTGGGTGGCGCAGGTCAGGGAGGGGAGGAGAAAGTGCGGCTACGTGTGTGTGTGTGTGTGTGTGTGTGTGTGTGTGTGTGTGTGTGTGCAGGCACTTCCCAAGTACCTTCAGGCTAGGGGGTTGAATGGGGGGTGGCGCTAGGGGTGGGCTCGGATCGGTGGGGTCAGGAGGGCACCCAGCTCAGACGTCAGGGGGCTCCCCTCCCCTGCAGGATCCGACTGGAGGGAGCAGCACGCTGCAACCAAAGCGTCTACCTGGAGGTAGCTGAGACGAGGTGAAAAAGAAACTCTGGTGGCCAGCAATTCCTGACAAGGGCTATGAGTGGCTGTGCAACATATGTAGTGTGTTTATCTTTCAAAAGAATTTTATTCACTCTGGAAACTTAGAAAGTGCAAAAAAAATTGCAAGAAAAAAATCACCTGTAATTGCCCATCCAAACCCACACACCTGTCCTCCCCCAAAGAGACCTGCTCTTCGTGTAAGTGTATTTCCAGCCTCGTTATAGATGTGGGTTTGCAAACTGGACAGAGTTCCACTTGGCCTCTTTTTGCCCTCATTAACCTGTGTAGGTGAAGTTCCTGTAGCTGCTTCCCCTTCAGGCTTGGGTTTCTAGAAGATTTCCAGGTTGAAGGTGGTTGGGAGTAATCTGGGAAAGTTGGGCAGAGGTGATGCGGCTGTGGGTGTCCGCCCCTCCCCACCAACAGGTGCGGTGACTTTACTGTAAGAGGGCAGGGAGTCCTAGCAGGCTGGGTGCAGGCTGAGCAGTTTAAACATTACACCTGATTGAATGTTTCCTGGGAGTCCAGCTGGACATGCCCCGCCCATGGGTTGGGCAAGGACAGTGTAGGCAGAGGTGACCTGAAAAGGGGAAGGGAGCCTATTGCGGTGGGTGCTGGAAACTGAATTTGCTCTGGGTTTTTCTGGTCTCTTCTGGCTGTGATTTGTGTCAAAGGAGGAGGATTGGGCTGACAATGTTGAAAATGATCCCTTCTGATAAGGAGCCAAGTGCCTGGATCCTGTTGCTTGAGAAGAACTGACATGCTATTTGGGAGTGGGCATTAGTATCTTTTGCTGAGATGCCATCTTGTTTGGGCTGTCGTGTGTGTGTGTGTGTGTGTGTGTGTGTGTGTGTGCGCGCGCGATCATTGGGTGTTTAATAGGCACATAACAACCAATGCTTGGTGCAACAATTTCCTGCATTCCTCCAGGCTCAGCTCCCAGTTTAGAGGAAACTGACTGTTGTGAAGGGATGCTCAGAAATATGAGCATTAAGTTACAACCAGGACAGTGGAAACAGGGGGGTAAGGCTTCATGAAATGGGGACAATTGGAGATGGGTCCTGAAGGTTTGGTAAGAGTTCACTGAGTAGGCTGCTGTGCCTCAGCTCCCAGTGAACTGTTCTCACTTTTAGGCAAATGTCAGTTACAATTTGAGTATCAATGGACTTTGTCATTAAAAAAGTAAACTTTTAAATTAATGTGTGGATACAATCGTGTATCCACCATCCAGACCAAGATGTGGAGGATTTCCAGTGCCCTAGATGGTTGTTGCTTCCTCTTTCTTTCCACTGTGTAATACCCCCCACCCCAGCCAAGGTAACTGCTCTCATCTTTATTCCTGAAGATTAGTTTTTCTCTAGAACTTGAAGTAAAACTGAGTCATACAGCTTGTACTCTTTTCTGATCTGGTTTTTATGCTCAACATTATGTTTCTGTGATTCATCCTTGTTCTCGACTGTATCAGTGGTTCCTTTGTATTTCCAAGTACTATTCCATTGTATGGATATACCACTGTTTGAATTCCTCTGTCAAGAGAATTGGGTTGTTTGCAGTTTGGGGTTATTAGGAATGAGCGAAGCTGTCTTATGTCTTTTGGTGATTATCAGCACCCTGGAGTTGCTGAGTTGGGCTTTGCTGCTTTGCTGAGCATTGCTAAAAAGAGGCTGGGAGTGGAGCTGGGGGCAGGAATCTGTCTTGATTTTCCCTTTGGTTTCTCTATCTCTTGATTGGATGCTTAAGAGACATTTTCCCTCCTTGCTTCTGTGGCACTCAGAAAGTCCCAGCCAGAGGGCCAATTTGGGAAAGCACCCCACACGGAGCTTAGAGCATCTGCCAAAACTAGCTGTTGGATGTTGACTGGACCCAGATGTACCCGGACCATTATCCATGGGAGTCTTATTCATCTGAATTCAGCATGGCTGGCAGTCACTGGAGGCAGGAGTCCAGGCAGAGGGTTGATTTTGAAACTGTATGCTTACGTATAGCATAGGTAATTGAAGTTTTTGTGGTGATGGGAAGCTGGCTATGGTGAGATTTCATGAATCTGTAATAGGATTTTTCAATCTGTAATTATTGAAGAAGATTCGGCCTCCATCTGCAGGCAGCAGCTGCTGTCATGGTCAGACATTTTGGTTCTTTGCAGAAAGCTTTGACTCTTTTGGGGTTTAGGGAGAGTTTGGTTCCAGAGTCGGTAATGAGGACTAGCTCTTAGGTTACAACCTCTGGGATAGCAATGCATTTCCGGGAAGAGTGATTTGGTAATAGATTTATATCTATGTAGCTGTCCATATACCTATATTTTTAAGTTGACTTGGAGGTATATTAGCCTCTGCTCACTTGTTCATTCAAGGCCTTTATCTGTTTCCTGAACTGCAGGGTTCTGGAATCCATGTAATATGATTGTGATGTCAAAGGTCATCCCCCAAGGACTGTTAGAATGATGACTTCTTTTTTTTTTTTTTTTTTGAGACAGAGCCTCAAGCTCTTACCCTGGATAGAGTGCTGTGGCATCACAGCTCACAGCAACCTCCAATTCCTGGGCTCAAGTGAGTCTCCGGCCTCCCCCTCCCAAGTAGCTGGGACTACAGGTGCCCGCCACAATGCCCGGCTATTTTTTGGTTGCAGACGTCATTGTTGTTTGACGGGCCTGGGCTGGATTCAAACCCACCAGCTCAAGTGTATGTGGCTGGCGCCTTATCTGTTTCAGCCACAGGAGCTGAGCCAGAATGAAGACTTCTTGACCTGTCTTTGAGGTCTAGGTGAGCTGGACAGAAAGATGGGCTTTTTCAGGTGCCTGCTGCTCAACTTCTTGGGTCTGACAGGCAGATGTTCTCTTGGACATGGTCACTGTGGATGGCTCAGGGTTCCCTGGCAAAGCATGGACATCCCTCTGGGCAATGACTGCCTGTGCCACCCTCACAGGATGGCTTGTAAGGAAGCAGGGGTGGTCCAAGCTGTTGACCTTTTTGGAGAGGAGAAAATGGAATTGCAGGATGTTGACAGCCTCCATCTGGTGGCCCCCACTCCTTGGGGCCATGTAGGAAAGCAGGGACTGTATTTTCTAGAATTGAAGTCGGAGGCGGTCTGTTATGGGTCTGTGCCTTTGTTCTCTGCCTGGCAGTGGGCGATGAGGGCTGGTGTCCTGATGACAAGGCTGGTTTGGCTATCCCTTTTCTCTCTTCGCCTTGGCCTTAGGGTTCAGCTGAGTGCTCCACCACTCCACCAGTGGACACTTTATTGTTGGGCAAGGAGGGATGTCAAGCTAGAATTTAGAAGAGGATCCCTCTTATAGGAAACTGCCACCACCCAGTTCTCTGTGCAGTTGAGCAAACATGTACTGAGCACATAACATTTTACAGACACTGGGGAGTGAAAAGCTGGGTCTGCCTTTAAGAAGCAGATAACCCAGCGAGGCTGGAGCTTGGATTTTCTGATTCTAGCAATGCAGAGGTCGGTCGTGTTTTGGGCTGTCTTCTGTTCTGGTGCTTTTGGGGTTTGATGTAATTCTTAGCCTTGTTATTGCCCTGGGACCTGGAATTGGAGGTAGGTTGAGTTAGACACAAGGCTGCCCCTATTGTTGTGCTGGGGGAGCTGCAGGGGAGTCTCCATGGCCACTGTCTCAATCCTGTTGGCAGTTGCTCCCTAAGCAGCATTCCCACCCTCGGTCAGAATCTGCCCAAGCCCACAGGACTTGTAAGTAGGGCTGGGATTTGAACCCAGGTCAGACTAACTCCAAGTATCCTGTCAGCTCATTCTGTGAGTCATGTGCAGTGGGCGTATGGCTAAAGGGGCTATTAGCATCAGGCCTGGGAGCTACAAAGCCCTCTCAGAGGAGGGGCTTTGGGTCTGGACTTTGACTGTACAGATTCTGCATTACACAGTGTAGAACAGGAGGGAGGTCACTGGATCAGCCTGGAGGCAGGATGGTGCCTCCATGTTTCAGAGAGAGCAGTTCTCGCCCATGTGGCCCATTTTCTCCTTTCGTTCCCCTGGCCGAGGTCAGGTACAGGTGTTCTCACACATGCTGGGACTCTGCAGTGACTTCTTTATGGCTGGAGCCCTGCCTCACCTCAAGTCCACCCACCACCCAGCCACCCAAACGCATCACTGCTAAAGCCTCCAGCAGATTTTGTGGCCTTCCCAACCTGTGGGGGAAGGGCAGCAGAGTGAGGGCCTGGGCAGCTCTCTAGTGCCCCCCTCCCTCAAGATGAGTAATATCATGGCCCACAAATGCCATGATGAGAAAAAGGCTGGGTTGTACTAGCTCATAAGATGAAGTCCAAGCCACTTGGCCTGGCATTCAGGGTCATCTGTGGCCTGGCCCAGGATCCCACTTCTCTCCCACAGCCACCTACCCCTCTCTGCCCCCAGCTCTCCCTTCCTATCTCCCTGTCTTTATCTCC